GGGCTGGACCAACTTGTCTAGAGGTAGAGGTTTATTTTTAAGTTCTTTCAGCTCTAACTGCTGACCTTCCCCATTCTCTCTACGCTGGCCCCAGAGCACACCTGAAGGCCACCCACATTCCTCAAATACTAGGTGAAACCCACAGGAGAGACAAGCAACGGAGAAACAGCCTCCACTATCATCATGCCTAGAATCCAGCTCCACAGGCATAATAAAGCCAGTCCCCGGCATTAAGCATCTGCCTTTCCCCTCTGGACTCCAGGAACTTGATCAAGGAGAGCAGCATCCAAAAAGGTCAGAGTGTCCAAATAAATGCCTCTCTCGTTCTCCACAACCTCCTCCAAGAGCCACTTACTAGACACCAACTGGCTGACAGTGGGCGTCTCTGAGCAGGTAATTGGGATGGGAGCAGAGGCAGATGGCTTGGCCGCTGGGGCTGGGCTGGCGATGACCACAGCAGGTGGCGGCACGGCTGGCGTAGGCTGGATGGGCTGCACCTATGAGAAGAGAGCCAACAAGCCCCTGTTGCCCACCTGCCCAGCTCAGGGGGTTGAAGTCCCTGCATGGATCAGAGACAGGGGCAAAAATGGGCATGAAGTCTACACTCCTACCTGTGCCCCATCAAAAAGCAGGACTAGAAGCTACTTATTATCACCCACCCAGTGATAATGACCTCTGAAATAAGCACAGCAACATGTCCCGCCCAGCTGGAGCCTCTATGGCCACCTGTGACACTGGCAGGTCAGAGGCTCGGGAAGGTTTAATACACTTGGTCAAAGCCCCACAAGTGTCCACCCTTGACACAACTTCTCTCAAATCTCTGCCCTCAGAGGAGAAATCTAACCTGATTTTAGAGTCTCCCAGGTCCAAACATCGATTAATAGGAAACTGTCAAATGACACCTAGGACCTCCCTACAATGAGATATTGTGCAGCCATTTAAAAGAATAAGGTATATTTCTTAAATACTGACAAGGAAAAAGCTCAGAGTCACAGTGCTAAGTGGAAAAAAAAAAAAAGTCAGGTGAAAAACAGGTTTATGGAATATTTGTTTTTAAAAATACATATAAATTTCCAGGGGAAAAAATGGAGGTGTACTAGAAGGGATTTTTACATTTTTACACTACACATAATCTTGGAATATTTATAAAAATCATGTATCATTTATAATCAGAAGAAACTATAACTATATAAAATTAGTGTTTTTTTAAAAGCTTCCTGGAAAGTTGAAATTTCTCTAGGATGGGTCCTGTTCCCCGGGTTCTACCTCTTGGTAGCTCCCAGGTCTACTCCTTCATGCTTCTCAGCGCCTCAGCCTTAGTGCAGAGTCCCTGGTCTCTTGCTAGAGCTGTTTAAGCTGCCTCCTAACAGGCGACAAGGACCCAAGTCTCATCACAGTCCAGTCTTGCCTCTACCCAGGCGACAGCAGAAATTTTTTAAATGCACATTTAGTCAGCCATTTCCCTACTAAAAACCCTTCCATGACCCCTCACTAGCTAATAATAGTGATAACAATAAAAACACTGCTTTTCAAGTGCTTCCTGTGCACCAGACTGTTAACCGCCTAGGTGCAATCTGTCCTTCAGTCCTCACACCCTTCTTATAATCTCCATTCTACAGACAAGGCTGAGGTTATTCACAAAGCCGGCAAGCAGTGCATCACATCTAAGACCCACGAGCTCAAACCCTGGGAACTTGTCAGAAAGGGGAATTCCTGGGCCCCACTCCAGACCTCCTGAATAAGAAACTCGGGGCGGGG